GAAATTGTGTTTGTTGCATTTACCTGATGGCCACAACCAAAGGCCATGTCTTTCGGGTTGCTCAGACAAATCGGACATAGCTGTTTCAGAGAACCAAGAACATCAAGTTTTGAACTTTTTAAATGACATTTCAAGACAGATTCTGAAACATTTTTCAGGTTTCAGAAGTTACCTGGTTATCGGAAGCAGAGGTTGTAGCGGGTGGGGTGGGGCTAGACCTTAAGGGATAATAGCTTTCAGTTGGATAAGGGGGAACACTCGGTTTGAAACTGGGAAGACCGGAAGCCTTTGGCGAGTTGTAGGACGATGATCCACCATGCATTGGAGGCGGAAGAGGAAATCTTTCCGGGATATTCCCATTTCTTCTTCTGCAGACAAAAATTTAAAAGGGCAAGAAGAAGTTGAGAATTTTGGGGTAAAAACTGAAACCAAATTGATAAACATTGTGTTTGGGGATTTACCCTAAAAGGTTAAGCTCTAACGTCGCCTTGTATTGTTGAGGAATCTCCATGAGAGCAGAAAGGGCAAACTCTGTTTCCTTCAAGGACTGAGCTTTGTTCTTTGACATGATCTCTGTGAAGTTCACGAACTAGAAACAGAAAATCAGATCAAAAGACAATACTTTGATGTTGTAAGCTAAAAAGAAACTTACTTGGAAGTTGTCGAAAGCTCGGGCAGGGATATTATCATCAAATTCCCTCATCATGTCCCATGGTCCATCCCCAACCCCCACTAAGACGATCGATAGAGGAAGCTTACTGTCATAGAGAAAGAAATGAAATCATAAAACCAGCCGCAGAAAGAGATAACTTCAATGGAAAAACAAAGTGGAAAGATTGGAAATATTCCAACCTCGCTTGTACGATAGCCTCCACGGTCTTCTGTTCTTGCGGACTCAACTGTCCATTTTCTGTGTCAACGCTTCTTGTAACCTGAAATAGCCAATTTAGTTTCTTCTCTCGACACAGAACAAAGGGTCATACCAATTATTTTAGTACCTGCCCATCTGCTATTATCACTAGGACATGATATTGCCCACCGCTCTGTTCAACAATGGTCATGGCCATATCGATGATCGGAGCAAAAGAGGTTGGTCCTGGAAAATATTCAACATTTTTACAAACATGGTTCAGGAAATTAGCTAGCGTTTCATGAAAGCGCGAGGAAATAAGGAAAAGAAATTAAACCTGCGAGCTTAAGCTGAGGCACAATCTCCTTATACCGAGCAAGTACTTCCTCAAATCCATTACAGAATCTATCCTCTGAATTGAAGCTAAACACATCTTGATCATGTGTTGATGCATCTCCAAAACCATAACATGGAATCAAGTTGTCCTCATCAAAGGCGGCTAAAGTTCTTCCTATGATTGTTATCGCTTGTTCGTAAGGATTCGGACTACTGCCTATAAAGTGTAAGCTTCTCTTATTGAAGGACCTGGCCCCTGTTATTAACAACAACAACAAGAAAAAGGTACTTTTAAGTGTGAAACCCCTTTGGTGCATTACACGGAATACAGAACCTTGAATCTCACCAACCTGTCCATTCGTTGCTCTTAGTGAAGTCAATACCAACAATGAGATTTGAAGATTCTAGACCCGCACGCGCAAGAGCCTCTGTAACCTGAATGAAAAGAGAACATAATGTGAACCCCTCATAAGAATCTACGGCTTTAGATTCCGGTAACAACTAACTAGAGTATCAGCTCACCTGCTCCAAAGAAGAGTAATTATCAGCAATTCTTGAATACTTCCGTTCCAACTTCTTCTTACCACTGCCATGACTTTGAAAAGGCTGCGGAGATGAGTAAGGCTGAGAACTATATGAAGGCGGAGGAGGCTGCGAATACTCGGGAGGTGGAGGATATGAAGGTGGAGGAGGATAGTTATAGCTTTCTGGTCCATACTGAGGATAGCTTTGTTGAGAAGCCCATGAAGATGGTGGTGGTGATGCTGATGAAGCTGGAGCTGACCTAAACGATGACGAAGACTCCTGTCTCCAGTTTTCTTTCGAATTCCCTGTCCCCATCAAACTCAAAAACTAAACCTTTTTTGATTCAATTCAATTCAATTCAAATCCCCTCTCAGCTCAAATCAGTTACCTGCAACAACAAAGATTCACAAATATTTGGCTTTAGAAACAAAAATGCAGAAACTTTGTGTAGAATCCTACAAGATGCAATTATGAATCAATCACCTAATCGTGAAAAAGGTGAAAGCTTTTTTCTTGGACAGATGTTGAATTTTCTCACACCGTTTACGAAATGGCTTTTAAAATCCCAAGGTAGGTTTGGTCTTATATAAAGAAAGTAGATTCAATCACGTAACGTGTCTTTCCTCAGAGACTTAGCAACAACAACAAAAACGCGATTTAAGTAGTGACTTCTTCTAGATTAAGATAAAAGTTGAATTAAAAGAAGACCTACTGCAATACTCCAACCCCAGAATTAGTAAAAGAAACCACCCAGTTTCTGACAATTAGATTTAATTCTTAATTTGAACCGAAACAATCAATCTAAAGACTCAATCCAAAAACGGAAAAAGAAAAAGAGTTTCGAGGCTGAATCTACCGACATTCACCGGACAATGACCAATTTGGGTCGATAACGAGTGTAATAGAGAAGAGAATCTGTATACCTTTTAACTTGACGAATCAGAGAAGTCTTTGAGAAAGAGAGCAAGGAGCTTCAATGGCGGATCGAAGAATACTTTCACCTTTTGTTCGAAAGCAATTTCACTTTTCTTTTTTTTTCAGTTGGTTTTGGTTTTGTTTCTATCAAATCATTAAGGGACTAATCACTTTAGAAAGTGTTAAGCACGCTAATGGTGGAAACTTCTCATTTTTACCCCAAATATTATTTTTTCTTTCAACAATTGGCCTTATAAAATACTTATGTATATCCAAAGTCCAGATATGCCTAAACAATTATACCAATTGACAATTTCTTTGAATACTTGATATATTTTTTTTTTTGGTCAAAATTAAAAATAGGGAATAGATAAGAATAAATTAGAGTGGATATATTTTCTGTTTTTTTTTTGATAAATGAATTATGTAAAATTTTTAATCTAGATAATTATATTTAGTGTTGTTATCGTATAACCCATTCAAGCTTCAATAAAAGAAATATTCAAAATCATAATCATATCATTAACTTTTTAATCTCTTGAACTGCCAAACATATTTATCGTTTGTATGATTTGGGAAAATAAAAAAGAAAAAATTAGCCACAATACCATTTTTGGGAAATGGTATTGTCAAATATGCCATTATTCAAAAAGCTTTCAAAAAAATACCATATTTTTTTTTTTCATTTTTCACTCCTACACTAAGGGTCTAAATGGTAACCGCAGAATTTTTGCTGAATTTGTAGAATTTGCTGAATTACTGTTGATTTCTTACAGAATTTGCTGAATAATATTAAACTTAAATGGTAACCGCAGAATTTTTGCTGAATTTGCAGAATTTTCTGAATTAGTGTTGATTTATTGCAGAATTTGCTGAATAATATCAAACTTAAATGGTAACAGGAGAATTTTTGCTTTATTTGCTGAAGTTGCAGAATTTTTTTTAAAAAGTAATTAATGTTGAAAAAGTAATTAATTTTAAAAAGTAATTATTTTTTTTCAAACTTAAATGGTAATAATAATTGACCAATCACAAAAAATTGCAAAATACTAGTACTTATACTATATTAAAAAAGTTAAAAAATTAATTATGAACTACTGAACTCGAATATCCGAACCCAGTAGTTCATTAATGAAATGCATCCCATATTTGTTGTTTTATTCCCTCTCGTATTATCTGCATACGAGTTCCTGCTGTTGTTCTCTCTTGATTATGTAGAAAGTCTTCTTCTGCACTTTCTCCACTTTCTCCATTGTTATTAATATGTTCTCGCGGGATTGCAGTAGTATGCAAAGCATCATCAAAATCAATGTTTGGAATTTGAGACAGGCGAATGAAGTTATGCAGTCCAGCTGTGGCTATGATTATTTTGTTTTGTGTCTCGACATCGTATCTTGGGAACTCTGATAAAATCCTCCACTTTTTCTTCCAAACTCCGTATTTTTTCTTCTTCACAAATTCATTGATTTGTGTCGGTTATGCAAT